TATATTAGTGTATATGTGTGTATGTATAAAGGCTTTATAAATCCTGCCCGCACTCTTGCAATGTTCTAAACAATGTGTCTAAACTCTAAATGCTCTAAAAGAGCACAGAATGTCATGATCTCTGCTCTCTGCCATGCTGGAATCACACTCATCACTTCCCATTCTCCCTCCTTCTGTGGAAATAAACAAATTAAATTTAAATACTGTAATATTTTAAACAATCCATATTACAGTATTTAAATTTACATTGTATAGAAGAGAAGGCAGCTGGACAGACGCAGCATGGAGCAGAAATGTACTTCTTGATCAATTACACTTTATCAACTGAACGTAGAAGTTCTAAAATAATGAAAAATAACTTTTAACACTTATATTTTGTGATTATGACGATTTTACAATGTGACATACTTTGAATTTTAAGTTGGAAGACAAGAGTCAATCAGTGCAGCTGTACAGCAAAGGGTTAACCCTTCACAAAGCTGCTGCAACAGGAGGAGAAAGGTGGGGGTGTCAGAGAGCCACAGGTGGCAGAGAGTGGAGATCATGACAGGCTGCAGGAGGGAGCTTCTCCCTGCACCTAATGATTTAGCAGGTGATAAATCCATCCATCCATTATCTTTACCCACTTCTTCCATTTTTGGGTCACGGGGGTCGTCAGTGCCCATGTCCAGCAATCACTGTGCGAGGGGCGGGGGACACCCTGGACGGGTCTCCAGTCCATCACATGGACACATAAAGACAAACAACCATTCACTCTCTCACTCACATCTAGGGACAATTTAGAGTTACCAATCAGTCTAACATGCATGTTTTTGGTCTGTGGGAGGAAACCGGAGCACCCAGAGAAAACCCACGCATGCACGGAGAGAACATGCAAACTCTACCCAGAAAGCCCCCTGGACCAGGATTTGAACCAGGGACCTGCTCGCTGAGAGGCTGCAGCTCTACCAGTTGCGCCACTGTGCTGCAGGTGTTAAATCATTTAAAATAATTTATTTTAAATAAACAATCCATTCCACTTGTGCGGCTCATCCATCAGTCAGCCATTTGAGTGTCGTCCAATCTTACTTTGAAAAACCGCGAAAGAGCGAGTTTGCGAAAGTCGAATCACGAAATAGCGAGGGACTACTGTAAGCTGTTTTATCATGGTGTGTATAGAAAGAAAAAGTAAGAAGGGGTTGTCCTGAAGGAGGAGTTGGCAAAGAATGTAGTAGAGATGAAAACAGTGTCAGATAGGGGGATGTGTCTGAAGGTAGATGTATAAGGTCTGATTCTAAAAGTTGTCAGTGGTTAAGCTCCACAGTTTGAATGTGATGTGGAGGAGAAAGATAAAATTTGGAAGTATGAAGAAGGGGAAGTTAGTAGGATCTGATGACATACAGTGGAGGTTTGGGAATGTCTTGGAGAGATGGCAGTGAGATTTTTGACTCTAATTTTCAATTGTATCTTTGAGGGTGAGAAAATGCCTGACGAATAGAGAAGTGTGCATGTGCCCATTTTTAAGAACAAGGGTGATGTACAGAGTTGTAGCAACTACAGGGGAATGAAGTTGATGAGCCACACGATGAAGATCTGGGAGAGAGTTGTGGAAGCAAGACTTAGATGAGAGGTGACTATTTGTGAGCAGCATGGTTTCATGCCAAGAAAGCGCACCACAGATGTCATCTTTGCTTTGAGGATGCTGATGGAGAAGTACAGAGAGGGTCAGAAAGAACTCCATTGTGTCTTTGTGGATTTAGAAAAAGCAAATGACAGGGTGATGAGAGGAGGAGGTGTGGTATTGTATGAGTAAATCTGGAGTGGCAGAAAAGGATGTTAGACTGGTACAGGACATGTATGAGGACAGCAGGACAGTGGTGAGATGTGCTGTAGGAGTGATGGATATCGTCAAGGTGGATGTGAGAGTGCATCAAGGATCAGCTCTGAGCCCCTTCTTGTTTGCTCTGGTGATGGACCGACTAACAGATGAGGTCAGGCAGGAATCCTTGTGGACTATGATGTTTGCAGATGACATTGTGATCTGTGGTGAGAACAGGGAACAGGTGGAAGAGAACTTGGAGAGGTGGAGGTATGCACTTGAAAAAAGAGGAATGAAAGTCAGCCTTAGTAAGACAGAGTACATGTGTGTGAATGAGAGGGAGGCCGGTGGAACAGTGAGGCTACAAGTAGCAGAGGTCACAAAGGTGCAGGACTTCAAGTACTTGGGGTCCACTGTCCAGGAAAATGGGGAGTGTGGTAAAGAGGTGAACAAGAGAGTCCAGGCAGGATGGAGTGGATGGAGAAAAGATTCAGGCGTGATTTGTGATAAATAGGTATCAGCAAAGGTCAAAAGAAAAGTTTACAAGACAGTGGTGAGACCAGCTATACTGCTTGGTCTGGAGACAGAGACATGGACAAAAAGACAGAAGAAAGAACTGGAAGTGGCAGAAATTAAGATGTTGAGGTTCTCCTTAGGAGTGACAAGGATGGGTTAGATTAGGAATGAGATCATCAGAGGTACAGCACAGGTTGAACAACTGGGAGATAAAGTTAGAGAGGCCAGACTGAGATGGTTTGGACATGTCCAGAGGAGGGACAGTGGGTATATTGGTAGGAGGATGTGAGAAATGCAGCTGCCAGGAAAAAGACAAAGAGGAGATAAGTGGATGCAGTTAGAGAGGACATGGAGGTAGTTGGAGTGAGGACAGAAGATGCAGAGGACAGAGTGAGATGGAGGAGGATGACCAACTGTGGAGAACCCTGAAAAGCGAAAAGCTGGAAAAAAAAGAAGAACAGCATTCTGGTTCAAAATCAATTTTATTCAGACTTGTTCAGTTTAGATGGTACTTAGCTAACTGGTATCATAAAACCTTCCAGTCATGGCAGTCTTATCCATCTGTCAATCCACTTTCCTTTTTCATTTTGGGTCTCAGAGCTGGTGTCTATCCTCAGCACAGCAGTTACTCTGTGAGAGGTGGGGGACATCCTGGACAGATGTTCAGTCCATGACAGGAACTCATAAAGACAAAGAACTATTCACTCTCTCACTCACACCTAGAGTCAATTTAAAGTTTCCAATTAGCCTAAAATACATGTCTTTGGTCTGTGGGAGTATTTGGAGAAAACACACGCCTGTTCAGAGAAAACATGCTAACTTCATGCAGAAAAGCTAAAAGAGGAAGCTGCAGCCTTCTCACTGAGAGGCGATAGATCTAATGACTGCTCTGTTATCCTGCTACTTGCTTATTTATCTGCATTTTTAGTCATGTGGTAAAAAATATGTGATAAACAATAGACCGGAGGTCCTTGTGACCTTCTGTCTTGCATGTTTTAGTTGTTTCTCTGCTTTAGCACACTTGGTTTAGCAGAAGCCTATCAATGCCTCATGCCTTTCAGTTGGGAAACCTCTAAAACCTCTATAGTAGACAGTTTCTAATTATTGAATCATTGTTTTAGCATTTGTTAACACTTTTTTCACTCATTCATTCAGGGGGATTTTCAACACAGGCTTGACAGTTTTTCCTGCTCTGAGCAACATCCACTCAAATTATATGAACTTCATTCTGTAAGTTGTCCGTTTGCCCAAACTACCATTCATAACATTTAGCAACAGTGTGTAATTGTGTGTGTATCTTCTCAGCTTCTACATGTTTGGGTGAAAAGGGTTAAAACATCAAAATGCATTTGTCTCATTTGATTTTGGTGAATTATTGAAAAATTATTTAGTCGTCCCTCTGCATCTGTCCAGTAAAAAAACAACAAAAAAACTAACATATATTTACATAACTTTCATTTCTTCTCTGTCCTGTCGTCCTTTGCAGGGAAATAATTGATCACCCCTTCATCACTGAGGTTCCTGCCAACTCGTTTCATGGCATCACAAGTGAAGTGTTGACAGTGTGAGATAAATACGCACTTATATTCATTTAAAACACAAATTGGACACAAGTACTTATAAAGCACATGTTTGCAACCTGCTGCTTTGGAGCCACGTGTGACTTTTCAGACCTTCTGTAGTTGATTCTTGTAAACTGGACAAAACATAACATGAAACTGAGTAATATTTATATTTAAATTGGCAACAGGAAATATTACTTTTAGCAGTTTTCCAATCCTAAAATGTTCATTAAGTCTGTAGTGAGCAATGTATGAGTTGAAAAGGAGGTGCCGTGGATGCAGTCCCGTCTCCCTCTCGGCTGTGCTCGAGTGCCTGACCACTGAGATCCTGGAAACACGTCTCGTGACAGCAGAAGGATTGGATCGTCCCCCAGCACCTGCAGCTGGCTGTCCACAGTGACAAGGAGCTCGGCAGGCTGCTGGGAGGAGCGATCGTCGCTCTGGGAGGAGTTCTGCCCAGCATTCGGGCGATCCTTCAGCCCGGAGGAACCAAGAGGCCATCCGAGCTTGGTGGATGGATCGGACGTCATCTACAGCCAGTTTCTTTGGATCCACTGTGGGACGGACTTTTATCAGAGATCCTTCCTGCCTACAGCCATCAGTATCTATAACGTCTCTTAATGAAGTGTGGATAATGAGTTTACAACATTTATTTCCCTTTGGGATTAATAAAGTATTTTTGAATTGAATTGAATTAATACATCTGCAGCAGAATGATCCTAATGATTAAGTGTTTGGGCTGTTTTGGGCTCAATAAATATAAACACTTTGTGTCAATTCTATTTAGAATCAAACATGGTAAAAATGTCTATTTCAGGTTGCAGACGTGTTATAAAGAAAACAAATGCAGATCAGTAAAATGATGTATTAGTGCTGTAACATTTCTTTGTCACAGCATTCTTTATTTTTACACTCACCCAAAACCTTAAAATAGCCTCATTGAGAAATACTCAACATGACCTCACTTTGAAAGCATGTCTCCATTTTACCTTCAATCATTTGTATTTTAACACAAGTTGTAAAATTTAGAATAATACATTTTGAGTTTGCATGTGTGTGTTTTGGTCAGTGGAAGCGCAAGAATTGAGTTAGATATTTATTTAAAAAGCCACAAAGTTAAACACAAACAGACAAAGTCTCACAAACGATATAGGTCCCTCTTAGCTTTCATTGTTTATTAAAAAAAGATATGATGGATCAGTTTATGGAAACTATTTAACTGGTAAAATCTTACAGTTTAACATTTTTATTATTATTATTCTTTCTTTCAGCATGCTGTATGGAAATGGCTTCAGAGAAATCCAGCATCACGCCTTTAATGGGACAAAGTTAGACCAAGTGTAGGTATTTCTCCCACATGACCTGGAACATTCTTTTGAATTAATTTGCTGTGTCATGCAACAGTGAATTAAATTAAAGGCAGTTAAAACATTTATTTGTAAGAGTGAGAAAGTCAACAGCATTCTGATAAAACCAGGTGAAAGCTCGAGTGTTTTTTGTTTGTTTTTTGTGAAAGGGGTAGGTCGTGAATGTATTAACCTTCCTCCTTTTTTTGTCATAAAGTTGAAGGGTAACTGTAGCAGTGTTTACATGCGCAAAATTCTTTGATCGGGTTGAAATGTATTCGGATTTAATAATCCAAATGTATCATTTACATGGGCACAATCTGTTCATGACGAGCGTTTACATGCAGTAGACTTTTGTTCAGAACAGAAGTACTGACATGCGCAGAGTGGTAAACTCTCCTTAAAAAACACAGAAGAAGAAGTTCTACTTCTGTGATGAACGTAAACAAACCTGAGTGCCCAAAATGGACCCGTGAGCTACAGGTAATACAGATCATTTTGAGCTCTTTCAAAGTTTCTAGTAGAAATGTTGTGTCGCTCACCGACCAGTTTTGCTTCCCCGACATGCTAATATTATTAGCATTAGCCAGGCGGACATGACATAGGTCGCACATGTGCAGTCAGGTCAGGTTTTCACGATCGGAAAAAAATGAACAGATTAAGTGTTTACATGCGCACCTTTCGGATTATGAATCGGCATTAACCACCCGTCTCTGATTACACATTCTTTCGGATCGAGCTGAATCAACAAAAAATAATCTGAATGGGGCGTTTACGTGATGCATTTTTATTTCGAATGGCCGTTTAATCTGATTACTTATGTCCATGTAAACATAGCTACAGGTGATTTTTCTTTTAGACCAAGTTTTCTGTGAACTGTCTCTGTTGTTACAGTGATTGTATTTTGGTGGGATAAATCTACTGTAAGGTTTAGCTCTATACCCAGATAGTATACAACCAAGAACAACGACTTCAGGGCCAGGAGAAAGTTAACAGTTTCTTTACAATGAGTAAATAATTATGAACAGTATGAAGGATCATAAGGGTGGGACTGGAACCTTGGAGAGTAAGAGACCATGTTAGTTGGAGGTTTCTTCTTGATTGGTTTTGATGTTCAGGTTTATCCTTACTGTAAGTTGGCAGAGCTGTCATAGAGGCAAAATACCAAAAGGTTCCACTGGCGCGGAGTGAAAAAGTTCCAAGAGGTCTTATCCAAAAATTGGGTAAGCGGTGGAAGGCAAGGAATTGCTAGAGAGATCACGAGGAGGCTCAGGAGACAACCGGGAAAGTCCAAGGCTCAGGAGGATCACAGGAGTCAAGCTACAACTCAGAGGATCAAAGATTAGATTTCACAATACACTGAGAGTAAAGTAAAGGCCAGGAACACAGCTACCAATTGGTAGATAATGCACCAGCGGCAGCTAGCAGTCATCATCTACCTTAAGTACTCCTGCAGCTCATTAAATTACTGGTCCTCAGGTGTGGTTCTGTTGGCGCCCTCTAGTGTAGGAGAGCTGCAAGGGAAAAAGCTGGAACTCCTACATCTACAAAAGGACGAGTTGTCAAAGAGAATCCTCAGTTGGTGAACAAAAATCAGTGCACAAATTATGGAGCTGTTTAAAAGCAGGAAATTAGGATTGCAGGACTGTTATGTTTTGTCCACAACTATGCAAAGTACTGAAAAATACTTAGAAATCCTAAAGGATTTCAGTGACCAAAGGACAGGGCATAAGGCCCAGCTCGTACTGAATAAAATCCCCACTTTGACTTAAAGAAAAAATTGCTAAAATAAGGATAGTGTTACAAAGGGAGCTGATTGCGAGCCTCGAGCCACTTTAGCCAGCTGTTGCTAGCTGTGGGCCTCAAGCCTCCTCTCAGACCCCAGATCCGCCCCCAGCTCACGCTGTCCCCCCGGCTTGGACCTCCCTCAGAAGCGGCAACTCATACTATTAATAAATCAAGGAAACGTGAATTCAGTTTTACCAACTGTATTAAATCAAGGCAGGAAAAGGTTACAGTTTACAGCGCTAGCCGGTCCGGTACATGACGTGAGATCAGGAACCGGAAGGGGCAGATGTGCCGTGGCATTACAGATTTATAGGGCCTAGACTCCTCCTTTGCAGAAGGGGAGCACAACCTATCACGTGTATGAGAAGGAGGGACTAAGTGTGATCTCAACAGATCATATCTGGTTTGACGTGAAAGGAAAAAATGAGACTGTGAATAAAAAGCCTTTCTGCGTGATGTAGCGAGTAAAATAAACTATTCCTTGAAGGATACTGAATCCCTGGGAAACTTTTTAGAGTTGCTGGCCCCGTTTAAACCAGTCAGAACCAGGTCATAATTCCATTTTAATCCCGTCTCTGAGCAGATCAAAAACCCAGGGTAAGTACAGATAAAAATACTAACAATAGTCTTTGCTAGGTCTTGGGTTTCAGGTGCATTTTAAAAACATAGCTCCATCACACATTTAAGCCAAACATGGTTCTTTACAAGTCTTCTGTAGAGAGGCTGTGGTGATTTGTCATCATAATAGCAGCATATGCACAATGTGGCTCATGAGAAGTGGTGTAACTGTTGTGAAGACTATAAAACAGGTATTTTTATAAGATGTGTTGGTTGTGGAGCGTGTATGGGGCATTCTCTAGGTTGAAGAGGCCTAAGCTAAAGGTTCTTCATATAGCACTACTTTAAAAACATCAAGAACTGATGAAACCTCATTGGCAAGAATATACTTTGAGAAACCTTTGGCCCTCTACTGTTCCAGGTTACATTTACAAATTGCACCTAAAACTTAACTTCTCAACAATCAAAGACTTTAGTTACCTTGTACCGAGGCTGTGGTAGTTTCTTTGGACTGAGAGCAATCTGGACTGTACCAGGATACACAGAAAGAAATGTGTTTGTAATTAAAAATAATTTGTCTTCCAGTTTCTTTATTTTACAAGAAATGAAATCCTTGTAAGGCAAATAGGGTCATTATGGGGTACGGATTTATACTGGGAAATGTCTGGTTGGTTTGTGATGACAGCCTTAATATAGAAACCCATCAATACGCTATCTTTTTTTTTTGCAAGAAAATCTAAAATCCCAACTGTTTGCTGCAAATGAAGATTCGGGTTCTGAACTGATCTACCTGGTTCTGCAATATTAAGTCTTGCTTTCAGGAAGAATGGGACCAAAATATTTATTTGGTGTTTTGCTCAACTGAAGGCCTAAAATTCAGAATGGTTGTGTAAAAAAGGGAACGCTAAGCTGAGAAGAAAAACTTGAAATATCGTGGGTACTGTCTGCAGTGAGACAAAAGTCTAAATAAATGGAGAAATTACTGCCCTCTATGAAAGTACTACTTTTTGAATCAGGGTTTTAGTCCATTTGGATATCTTCTATCCTCTCTCAGATTACATTACACATCATGTTGCCGAGGTTAAACTATTTCTGACGTCTGGGATGTGTGTTCCTTTACCCAAAATTGCACCACAAAAGCAAAGGGATCACAGTCGGTTCTCTTTGGGTCGTTTCATGTATGCACATGAACGCCCAGGTCCAGCTCTTGATTAGTAAGTTGGAAATTTCATGGAAAAAAAAAAACCTCCAAGAGTGAATAACAGGAAGTCTGGTTTAAGAGTTCTTCTCTATCATACATTCGGTGAAACTGGTTGCAAGAGTTTGTAGAAATCAGTGTAATGAAGAGTTCATTCAACAAATGTAAGTCTCAGAGAAGAGAACAAGGAAACATTCCTTATTTTTGTCGCAACATGTTTTTATTTCCTCATCTTTTCACACTCGAGTCCAGAAACCCAAATGTTTAAGATATGAGGCATATCAAATTAGGACCCCTTGCTCCTTTTACACCTACACTCTCTTCATGTCTTAAAAAAAAACCCTAATCAAGCCATTGGTCTATGACTAGTGAGTCTTACCACACGGGTGTTTGTGTTGGCACCTGATTTCCTCTGAGAGAAGAACTGATCCCAGTTCAGCCTGACCAAGACAAACACACCCCTCACCGGTCTATTATTCCTATTAGATTTAAGGGATTTGGGGAGATGTGCACAAGGGTGTGCCCTGTTTAAGGACTACACCTTTATGGTTTATCCCGCCTAATTTGAATCAACAATTTACAGTAAGTGAGACCTTTTTTCTGTCATGTTCCACCCCTTTAATGAGAAAATAAATCACAGGAATGTGCAGTGATGAGGCTTTTGAAAATATTTTACCATGCCTCGCCTCTGTAAGTCTAACAGGATATCGTTTCCTTTAAGGAACCTTATATTTGTGCTGTCTTTGTCCAGGGACCTTCACAGGAATAGGTATTTGACCAGGGTGGATAACAAGGCGTTTGCAGGAACCATCAGCGGCCCCATGCTTCTGTAAGTATCAGTTTGAGACGTTTAGCCATTGTTATTTTCTGCTGGGTGGTAAAACAAATTGCAAAAACATTCCCCAAGCAGTCATACTTGGCTTGAGGTGAAAAGCTTGCTGTGTAAAAAAAAAAAGGGTACATGGGAAAAGTGCAATGGAGTTTGGAGAAAACATGACTTACACACAGGGCTGTTAGCAGAACTCTTGTAGGACTGTGTAGTTGTTTGAAGTTCTCAGTTTAAATTGTTCATTGTGGTCAATTGATTCATGGCAGATTTTCTTGTATTTAATTAATAGTTTTGCTTAACATTGTTTTAATCTATCATCTTTCTTTTACAGTTCTGTTTGGAGCAGTAGGGCCATTTTATTTGACACACTAACCCTAACCTACATATGGGCGCTTAATATTCAGGTCTAAGTAGGCAGGTCTCTCTTGAAAAAGACATTTTCAATCTCAATGAGATCTACCTGGTTAAATAAACGTTTAATAATAATAGTTATGAAAGTGGCATAAGTAAAGTCCTGTAAACCCAAGTTGTATAACTGCTTGGAAATAAAAATGTTTTGGTTCTGATTCTAAGCACGTTGGTGGAAGCATCATGCTGTGGATTTACTAAGGAAAAAAATACCATAATTTTCGCTGTATAAGTCGCAGTTTTGTGCATAAATTAGCATGCCTGCGACTTACACAGTGAAACGACATATTTACGTTTTTTTCTCCATATTTATAACCCACAATTTTTGGCTGAGATTTGACAATTTCATTCATTCTAACATGGAAAATATAAAACACTACCATTTTTAGCCACTAAAGGGCCTTTGAATAATATAGCAAGCCAAGTGTCTCATGAATAGGTAAAAGTGGCTATTAATGAGACACTTGACTTGCCATACCAAGCCACCTTCGTCTCGCTCTGGAACTCCTGGAGCAAATGCCAAATCAGCTGCATTTCGCTGCATCGCCCAGGTGAAACGCAGCTGATTTGACCATTAAAGTGCAATTATTAAGGAAAAGGTCAACTGAGACACACATTTACTATAATGTCAAGCAAACAAATAATTGTTTTTAGGTGGTTATCTTGTTAAATTTCAAAAAAATATACAATGAGTTGTCCCTCTGCGTGCTCCCGCAGCCGAGGATCGGCTTTTTAAATGCAGCTGATTTGACCATTAAAGTCCTTTTATTAAGTAAAAGTTAAACTGAGACACATCTTTGCTATAATTTCAAGCAAACGAATACCGTATTTTCTGCCGTACCCGTCACACCGCCCTATAAGTTGCATCAGTCCAAATATGTCTAAAAAAGTGGAAAAATCCATAAATAAGTCGCTTCGCTTTAGGGTCAAATCAGCTGCATTTCAAAAGCCGATATGCAGAATTAAACGCGTGCACGTGACGAGTCGCTGTGCAAATTTAACAAGATAACCACCTAAAAACAATTACTTGTTTGCTTGAAATTATAGTAAAGGTGTGTCTCAGTCTAACTTTTGCTTAATAAATGCACTTTGAAGGTCAAATCAGCTGTATTTCAAAACCCAATTTGCATAAGCGGGCATGCTCATGGGCCCAGGGTGAGGCGAATGAGGGTGGGGGCAGGTGTGGGTGCTTCACCTTCACCTCCCACATTTTTGATGTTGTCGGTACCGGTGCTTGAACCGGCGATCTTCCGATCGCAGGCCCACCTTCTCTAACCTCTGTGCCACCACTCCCCTATCCCCAGAATGAAGGTGGCAGGCTATGGCAAGCCGATTGTGTCATTAATAGCTGATGAATATTCTAAGTCATCCAGGACATGATGCATTCATAAATGTTAAAGACAAAAACAATAAAGTATAATAAACAAAGTCCAGTTGTTTTTGTCTTGAACTTTTTTGAATTTGTCATTATGCCACTTTTATCTATTACATGTTACAACGACAAGCCTTAGTACTACTACTACTACTACTACTACTACTACTACTACTACTACTACTA